TCGTTAATAAAGTTTTTAGTATTATCTTTCTGGCTAGTAAATATAACTTAAGACCAGAAGTACCTAACGGAACTCCATCAGAGAGCTAGCTTCCCCGTAGTATCAATGATTCAATTGACATCCAAAACTTATTATAAAAAAAAAACTCTGAAATCCACTGAAAACGAGTCGTAAAACGGTCTAACAATACAATAGACCTCCGCCCTCGGAACCGTTTATGAGGCAAATAATCGATACTCTTTTTTCCAGCCCAAGAGCCTCTGCGGTTCCAAGTAGCGGCAGACGCCAGCGGTACTCAGGTGCCAGAAGTTACAGTTGAAGAGGTTCGCGATGCCTGTGCTAACCTTAGTCGGAATAAGTCCCCGGGGCCGATGCAATCCCGTGATAGAGGCGCCAGGGCGATACCCAGAAAGTTTCGACGTTTATGGATGGGCGTTTTTGACAAACGTTGGAAGGTCCAACGCCTGGTTTTACTGCCTAAGCCCAATAAGCCTCTGGGCGACCTCGCTGCTTTGCGCCCGAATTTCATGCTTGATACCCGAAAAAAATGTCACCTTCTTATAAGGCTATAATCAATTGCGTTTTCTTAAAATTTCGGACCTTTTACATAAATTTAATTGAATAAATCGAGTAAAAGGTCTAAAATTTTAAGAAAAAGCAATTGCTTAGTTTTTATTCATAAGGCCCATTGATTCGACGACGAGTGATCGTGCATCAAATCAGTTTGGCTTCCGGAAAGGACGCTCTACTATCGATGGAGTACGTCTGGTAAAAGCGATGTAAAGGCGGTACAATTGAATACTGCCTCGTCGTCAACCTAGATGTCAAAAATAATTCCCGAATTCGAAAATCTGGTAAAAAATAGTCTAGAAGTTTGCAGCTTTTTCTGTGACAGAATCATTTTGAGTGAGACAATCGGGCAAATCGGGCGTAATAAGGCATAAGGACTCAGGTGTAGTACCTCAGGCATCGGTTCTAGGCCTACTGCTAGGGAACGCCATGGGTCGGAGGTGTTACTCATCAGTGGCCGTAATGAAAGAGAGGAGGTGAAGGTCAGCTTCAGGGGGTATACGATACATTAGAAGCCATCGATTAAATACCTGGGCATTCAACTCGACGCTAAATTGAAGCTCAATGCACCACAAGCATTACATTCGCGAGAAGGCTGCCAAAACAAACTGCGCGTTCGCCGGGATAATGGTACATCAAGCGTGCATCTGTCTTTGCCAATTCTGCTGGTAGACCACCTGTGGAATAGTGTAATTATTTTCTTACCGCAGGCGCATATGTATGTTGTCCCTTTCACGTCAAAAAAAATAAACGTTTCGCGTCCTTGGCGGATTCCTTCTAACTTAGACATCGAAGTTTGACTTAAACATTTTTTTTTTTTACGTTACTCGGACCAGGGCTCAGGGCTCTCAAACGACTCAGCTATAGCGTCATATGTATGTATGTACGATATATTTTAAAAAGGGGTTTCCGTCATCCCTTGTCAAATTTCGTTTAGAGACAAATCGGTTTCGACAATGTGCCATCTTCAGTTTTATTTTCGAACGAATATAAATCCAACAATTTTTTTTGAGCTTGAGGCCGTTTCTAATGAAAAATGTTGTGGAAAAACAACAAAAATTTACACATGGTAGAAGTTATATGTAGTTGCTATTGCTATTTCGGAGATGCCCACATCTCCTCATTTGACTACTACATCGAGTTCACTGCGATTTAAATTCGCAACTCCGGCGTTCAAAGCCAGTGGTCATACCCTCTGTAAATTGTCGTTCCTTTTTCCACTTTTTCATTTGATCAACCCAACTACAATCAAGGACAACGATTTTGTTGCTTTTAGACTGGATCATGAGGTTGTTGTTGGTTTTTGTTAATATTCTATTTTTTTTAGAATGTTTAACACATAACAATTATATTCAACAATTCAACAACAAAAAATTTGGACTCAAACGGTTTTTGTAAAAAGTTTAAAATTTTATCTTGCATGGTTTTTGTTCGAAAATGAGCTATGCTTTTGTAAAAAATTAAGAAAATAAATTAATAAAATAAGTTTAAATAAACTTATTAAAATATCGCGTCCCTCTTAATTTTTCCACCACTGTACATATAACCAGAGCAACGTTTTAGGAGACCCAAAATTACAAATAATTTCCAACAGTTTTCGGCTACCAAAAAATTAAGTGTTACGTAATTATTTTTAATATGTGGAAAAGTATGGAAGTGTTGAAAACTAGAATTCAAATCCTCATTTTAAAAACTACGCGTATTCTTCGGCACCCTTTAAACAGTTCCGAAGCCATTTTATATATCAATTTAAAACATTGTGCTGCAACATTTCACATTTTTTTGACTTAGGCCCTTTTGCATTGATGACGGTATCTATTGTCCACTTGCTAAGTGCGCTATGTAAATATTTTTCAATTTTTAGTTTTTTTGTGGATAACGTTCCAGTATTTAAAGTAGTTTCATGTCGACTAACAACACAGTGCAAAAAAAAGTAACATATTTATAAACTTTCAAAAGTCGTATAGACTGTTAATGTTATGTTATGTTATGCTGTGTTATGGTATGTTATGTTAAGTTATGTTATGTTATGTTATGTTATGTTATGTTATGTTAAAATTTTATTAGGCTCTTATTTACTTATTATTATTATTTTACTTGTTGTCGTAGTGGTTTTTTTTTATTTAATTTATAGCTACATATATGCATACATACATACATGTTTGTGGACGTATATGTTTGTATGTGCGTGAGCGTGTATGAGTGTGTGTGTGTGACCGATTTCGTCGTTATTATAATAAGCGTAATTAATTAATTGCACAGATTCAGTGAATTATGAAGGAATTAAGGCCAACCAACTCAACTCAAACCAACTGAACTCAGAGCAATGCTAAGCAGAGCTAAACGCTCAAATCTCGAGCGAAGGATAAGCGAACAAAAGATGTGTAGCCGCCATACGACTATGGATGGGTGTGTGTGTGTGTGTGTGTGTGTGGGTGCGAGCCCGATAAACAACCATGTGCACTGGCCGGGGGTGTGTGTTGCCCTAGCAACGCGCATCCTACCTGTGCAACAGCACAAAATAGCTACAACAACATCTAATTAAAATCACCAATTTAGTAGAAAAAATACAGCTGCTGTGTAGGAGGTCAGTATTAAATCCTGTTCGTAGAGCTTCTGTGTGCAGACAAAAGCTTTCAACAGCGTGTAGGTGTGTGGCCCACCGAGCTACAACAACGACACTGACGCGGGCGATGGAGAATAATTCGCCTACAGGTGGCTCCAGCTATACACAAAGCTACTCAATAAATATATCGCTTGAGTGCTTTGAAGGAGCAATCTCGGTCGGTCGGTCGCTTTAGGAAAGCGTAAAAATTATTGGAGTTGATAAGTTTAATGAGCTGGAAAATGTATCGTACATATATACATATGTATGCATGTATACGGGCTGTAAGTCGCAACTGTCTACGTGTTTACACCTACATAACCCTCCGGATGTCCTCGCTTGCTTGCTTCACACACACTTTGATACTTCACTTTCATTTTCATTTCGCACTACTGAACTGGAATTTTTGCGAATTACCGTTAACAAAGTAGGGACATTAATTCACTTAAGTTGGAGATGAAGCCTGTTTATTTCGCCACCCTCCAACTATTTATTCAATAAAAGCACTCGCCGGGTGCATAAAATGCGACCTCATTAACTGGACCGCAGCGCAATCGATCCCCGTTGTATAGTTGCCCAAGCGGTTTCTCAAACACTTTCCATATGTACATACATATCGCACACCGTCTTCAAAAGAGTCACAACTCAAAATTTGGCATTTTTGAGATGATGCGCTAAAAATGCATACAGAGCTTTTATTTATCTTTCAGCAAAAGCTGGTGCAAATTTTTGTTATAATTTAAAAAAAAAAACCTAAGGTAAAATCGCCCTTGCCCACATGATTATCACGTGCTAAGAAATTATTATTAAGAATTATTTTGAGTTGTGACTCTTTTGCGATATGAACACATACAGTCAGTCAATAAAGTTTAGGTACAGCGAATTTTTTACAATACGGGCAACTATTTTTTAAATATTTTATTTTTCACAAATTTTTTATAAAAATATAGTTAATTCTACAACAAAAACCCCAAAAAGAAAAGTTCCAAACCTTGTGCAAAATTAAAGAAAATTCTGCAAAATTTCATTCAAATATTGCACTTTTTATTTACGCTCTCTAGAAAAATTAGAGTATGCAGTTTTTTAGCCCATTCAATTTTAGTGTAATAAAGTGCAAGTATGAGGAAGCTAGGACTTACCATTGATTTTTGGGAAATTTTTTTGTTGAAGGTGTCGCACATTTTTTCCATATAAAAAAATTATCAAACACTATTTTTGTTATACTAAAATTTAATGGGCTAAAAAACTGCATACCCAACTTCTTTCTAGAGAGCGTAAATAAAAAGTGCAATATTTGAATGAAATTTTGCGGAATTTTCTTTAATTTTGCACAAGGTTCGGAACCCTGATTTTTGGGTTTTTTGTTGTAGAATTGACCATATTTTTATAAAAAATTATAGAAAAATAAAATATTTAAAAAATAGTTGCCCGTATTGTAAAAAATTCGCTGTACCTAAACTTTATTGACTGACTGTACATACCTGTACATATCTATGTATATGCAAAAACAGTCCAGCCACAAGTAGGTACATACATACATAAGTGTGTAAATCTTTCTTTGAGTATCCTTAAATGCGCTTTGTTGCTTTTGTTGCTGTTAATTGCATCGACAAGTTTCATTGAACAATAAAATTGTTTGCGTTTACTTATTATCTACATATTTATTATTTATGTATGAAATATTAATTAAACAAAGCTTTACAAATTACCGTTATGACAATCAAACTTACAAAGCTAACACAAATGTTTACTTGCGTAATATATATATATATATATATATATATATGTATGTACATACATAGTAAGTACAAAGGTAGTTGGCTAGGTATGTCACAAATGTGTTTGAAGTACCTACCACAACAACAACAAAAGACGCGCTCAAGCCTACGCAATTACAAAAACAAACAAAAAATGCGGACTGCTGGATAATGAAAGCATTGCTTTTGTGTGCAGTCAAGTGTAAACTCCCTCTACGCTCATAAATAAATTCATAAACCCATTGAAGTACATAACTTCAGGCGGAAAAGAGTTTTCAGGTCATAAGGAATTAAATCTAGGTGAATAGTTTTTAAAGCTGAGAAAGCTGAGAAAGCATCACTTCACACTTTACGGGCATTTAGGTACTCAAAAACGAATAAACTTGCATATATATGTATGTACATTAGAATGGGTCATGAGAATAAGTTTTATGTAATTACCGCCCATAGTTTTGAAACTTGGAGAGGTGTGAAAACGAAATATTTGGTTATTACATATTTTTCTACGTTTTCTACACAAAATCGAGGAGTCTGCAGTTTAGCGGCGCCTCCAAACGCTAAATGTTTTTTTTTTAAGTGAAAGCGGCGGTTGGTTGGTTGGGAGTAAATTGGCTAATTCAGCGGAAATTGCACACGGATCTGGTTGGGACGGAAATGGTGCAACGGAAGTGATGCAACGGAAATGGTGCAACGGAAATTATTGGGGCTGAAACAAGTACTTCTTGTGTATATGCATATGGTATTAATTTAACAAAAATTTGCTAACAAAAGGTTAACGAATAACACTTAGAAAAAGACCAATACAAGAATGAAAGTAAAGGTGACTACGTACATAAATGAAGAATAGGATAAAGGCAAAGGTAAAAATAACAACAAAAACAAAGATGCGTAAAGATAAAGGAAAAAATGAAGACCTAGGTAATTCTAAACACTTTACTTATATATATACGAACAAATGTGAAGGGGAATATGTAGCTGAAAAAAACGATGACCATAGAAGTAAAGACAAAGAGGATATTTATCGATTTTGTTATCGATATTTATCGATTTTGTTATCGATATTTATCGATATTTATCGATTTTGTTATCGATATAAATCAATTTTGTTACCGATATTTATCGATTTTGTTATCGATATTTTTATCGATTTTCTAATCGATTGAACATGAACATGAATGTTATTAAAACGAACAGTGGTAGAGGTAGGGATCTTGACATTGATAGAAAAAAAGCGAAAATATATAACCTTAAGCAAAAGCAGATGTATGTATGTATGTATAGATAGATAAGTAACGTAAGTTTCACTTCTACAGTGTGGCCCAGGCGCACTTACTTTTTTTATACCCGAGCGCACTTGTGCACAAGGGTATTATAACTTTGTTCACATAACGGTTGTTTGTAACAGGCAAAACGAATCGAGATAGATATAGACAAATGTATACATAAATGATCAG